TATAATATATTTTATTTTTATTATGATTTATTTCTTTAAATTTTATATTATTTCTTTATTTAACTTTATTTTTAATTTTTTTATATTTAAATTATTTCATTTCATTTTATTAAATTCCCTCATTTATTTTTATATTTTATTATAATTTATATTTATTTTATTTTAATTTTTATTATTTTATTGAATTTTATATCAGTTTATTTAAATTAATTTAACTTTATTTCTCTATTCCATTTTTAGTTTTTAATATTTCATTTAACTTTATATTATATTAGTTTTACTTATTTTATTAAATTTCTTTGTTTATTTTTTTCATGATTTATATTTATTTTAATTTTGATATGAGTCAACTTATTTAAATTAGTTTAACTTCATTTTTTTATTCCTTTTTTATTTTTAAATATTTTACTTAATTTTATATGAAGTTATTTAATATAACTTTATGTAATAATATTTTATTTTAATTTATTTTAACTTTTTGTTATTTAATTTAATTTTATATAAAATTATTTACTTTAATTTGTATTTATTTTTATTTTGTTTTATCTTTTTTATTTTAATTAATTAAATATATTTATTATTATGTATTCAATTTAAATTTATTTTAGTTTATTTTTTATTATTTTATATAATTTTATATTAATGTGCTTAATTTATATTTTATTTAATTTAATTTTTTTCCTTATCATTTTACCTTATTTTATTTTATTTTATTTTATTTAATTTAATTTAAATTAACCTAATTTAATTTTATTTCATTTTATTAAATTCCCTTACAATTTTTTTTATTTTATTTTATTTAATATCAATTTATTTAAACTAATTAAACTTTATTTTTCTATTCCTTTTTTATGTTTTAATATTTATTTTAATTTTATAATATATTATTTTAATTTATTTTATTAAATTTATTTATTTCTTTTATATCATAATTTCTATTTTTATAATTTTATTGAATTTTATATCAATTTATTTAAATTGGTTTAACTTAATTTTTTATTCTTTTTTTATTTTTAAATATTTTACTTACTTTTTAATTTAATTAATTTGTTTAATTTAATTTTTATTTATTTTTATTTTAATTTATTTTATTAAATTCCTTTATTAATTTTTTTAATACCACAATTTGTTGCAAACTGCTAGTAAGCTAATAAAATTTAGACAAAAATTAGTACAATTGACTGTAGTAACTTATTCCTTTATTTATTTATTTATATCATAATTTATATATATTTTATTCTAATTTCAATTATTTAATTCATTTTTATATCATTTTATATAAATTAATTTAATTTAATTTTTAATTTCCTTTTCATGTTTAAATATTTTATTTTATTTTATATGCATTTATTTAATTTAACTTTATTAAATAAAATTTAATTTTAATTTATTTTAATTTTTTATTATTCACTTTAATTTTATATTAAATTATCGAGTTTAATTTGTAATTATTTTTATTTTAATTTATTTTATTAAATTCCTTAATTTATTTTTATATCATAGTTTATATTTATTTTAGTTTACTTTTTATCATTTTATTTAATTATGTATTATTGTATTTAATTTTAAATTTATTTTATTTAATTTTATATTATTTAAATTAACCTAATTTAAGTTTATTTCATTTTAGTTGATCTTATTTTACTTTGTTTTATTTAATTTTGGTTTAGTTTATTTTATTTTGGTTTCTTGAATTTAATTTTGTTATATTATTATTTTTTTTTATATAGTTTAGTTTGTTGCAAATTGCTAGTAAGCAAATAAAATTTATACAAAAAGTAGTACAGTTGACTGTGCACACATCTTTAGGCAGCTGTAATGAGTAATTTCACGAAATTTATGCGTTAAAAACATTTTAATAAAATATACAATAAAATACAAATATTGGCTGAGAGCCAATTGAATTTCACTTAAGAGTCAAGTAAAAGAAAATAAAGCTGATAGCAACAGTCTAAGGAAATTTTGAAAAATAGAAAATTTTGTACATAAAATTATGTATATATGTATATTATATACACATACGTACAAGTATTTAAAAAAAAAAAAATAAATTCAATACTGCCTCGATAGCAACAATAACAATTTAATACTATTGTAGGCATTTAAAATAAATTAAAAGTAAAGATAATAAAAAGAAATTTTTAGAAAAAATTTTCAAAGTAGTTTTCTCAACTAAAATTAAAAAGAAAGTCCTATACATAAATGCAAACACAAAAATATTATTCAACAGTTAACAGTTGCAGTAGAATAATCAACAACAACATCAATAAAGCCTTCGCATAAGAAACTCACCACACCTTGCATTCGGAGTGAGCGTGAGATAATTGCAATTGCATCGTAGCATACTCACGAATTGTTTAAGCATGCGCTGTTCATTATCAAATAATATTCGGCAGAAATAATGTTAAATCTGAAATGGAAGAGCGAAAGCTTTTTTAGAAAGAAATATGGACTGTCACCATGCCGGGCTCATTTGTTTACATGCTTACGAGTGCTATGCCTCCCTCTCTCAATTTCTGTATGTCGACTTATGCTTTTAACTCATAGATGTTCTGTCCAGGGTATCAAACGGAGATTAAACTGCAACGAGCTTATACGATAGTTGGTTCTGAGGACCTGATGTCGTTGGACCCTAGTTAAGACATAGTGTTCTCCTCCTCTTTTAACAATGCCTTTACGAACAGTTTACACCATTGATTGAATTTTTTTATTTTCTTCTACCCAACTACGAAAGATTGGAACTAGAGCTTGAAAGTGCAAGATAAGACTCTTCCTATATGATAGTTGGCGTAAAGTCCATTATATTTCGGTTTTCAAGTGAATACCCATTTGTAGCTTTTAGAAATGCCCACATTTTGGAGCTATTTTCAGAAGAAGTCGTGACATCTAGTCCATCTCTCTTTATCTTTGTGTTGCATTTATTGTACTAGATCTATTTGAATGGACCTTTCTTTCATTTTTCGAATGCTGCCACTTCGATATCTCAACGGACGGTAAATCTTTCTTGTAATCTTTCTCTCAAAAACGATTAGCGGCGACTCGTCAAGCCTTTGCATCATACAGCAGGGTGGAAATGACGAGAGAAGACAATATATCGGGGAGGACCTTATATGTCACGACATAGTTTTTGGTGATGTTCTCCGTTAGTTATAAGGCTGTGTAATATAAGTTTAAGGATCATACCAAACAGATTCTTTCCTCACAGGGGTTTGACCTCTCTGATTAGGACCAATCAGGTAGTTGACGTTGAACTTCAATCTAAGCACAACACAATGCGACCTTAATAGAATGTCGCAAGTAGGCTTACGGGCATATACAGAGTGAACTTTAGTTCCATTGTATTCCGACTGACTATATTTTGCAATGAAACTTATGCTTGCTCCTTGTTCAATCTTCCTTGGCATAATTGAATCGCTCAGGATATAAACCATTGACTGCAAACGCTTTGTTTTCTCCAAGCGCCCAATTGTCAAGCGAACTAAATCAGAGTCAGGTATACCATCGTCAACGACTGGGGTTTCACCTCACCATCTTTTAGTAATTAGTTTTTCCAGCAATTAAGTTGGATGGAGAAGTGTTTAGCCTATGTGCTCAGCATGCTCTGAATATCTGCCTCCAAATCGACTTTCTCTTTCTTTCATTTCCATAAGTTACACTCATACCGATGGGTGCTCTACGAGAGCAGGAGTGCAAGACGATTAAAAACAACTCGGTTGTCTACTTTGGTGGCAACTTTTCAATATTGAGCCCTCATTGTGTTTTTTAACGGGCGCTCTTAACTGCTCCGAGACGGGTGCGTGTCTATGCTGCTACGAGATAGTAGTTTAAGTCGATGCTAGCACTTCGGGCGGTACGAACATCTAATACACAAGTGACATATCGTCCATTCCCGGAAGTAGGCAAATAGCTTGATGAATTTTTTTATGCTGGAGTCTAGTATTATAGACTATAATATATCGTCGAAGTCCACCAACCTCAACCCATTCGATGATATTTCGCCAAGGAAGCTGAATTTATCAGCTAGTTGTGCGAAGATAGCTTCCTTACCCATTTTGGCATTAAAGTCGTCAAGCACAATGTTTACAACATGCCGAGAACAGCGTTTATAGGTACGCTCTTGGCGCTCATAAAATATATATTTGGTCACTTTGTGCTTATCTTACGTCAGCGTTATGTTGAAGAATTTCGCTTTTAGGCAAATGAGAAGACTGAGTCTCTCTGCCACCACCAATCCACCACGAATTTCCAGCTCACTTGGTTAATTGGAGTAGAAAAAATATAGGAGAAGCATGTCAAATATAATATTTAAACTAAAATTATTTTTGTCTATTTTAGAAGAGCGAAAGGGAGAATGAAGACAATTATTATTTATAAAATAAAGTACTATAAGTATAAAAAACTATTTATATATAATATAATTACGCATGTATTTTATATAATAATAAATTCAAACTACCGTACCTAATAACCAAAACCATCATAGTTCCGTAGAATAGTAGAATAGTTAAACAAAACTTATTTTGTGAATCATTTGTAAGCCCGGAAATATCCTTTTAAAATACCAATACTTATATACATACATACAATCGCCAACTCTACACAACTACACATAAAAACGCGCATACTCGCAAACACCCACCAACCAACCAACCAGCCAGTCAAGCACCCAGCCAAACGGTAATATACATACCTACATACATACTTGTATTATATAAAACCAGATCGCCCTGCCCGCCTACCTGTATTGTTTGTTCGTTTGTTCAACCGCCACCCGCACGCACGCCCGCCCGCCCTACGCTGCCTCAACGCCTAGAAATGCAACCAAAAAAAAAAAAGAAAAATTAAAAAAAAAATTAAATGAAATAATCCCGATCGATTGCAAATCACTACAAATATTTTTTAAATAAAATTCTTTAAATATGAGATTTTAATAAATAAATATATCTGTTCCACTCCCTCCCCTCCACCCACGCTGTACTACGTACGTATACGCCGAACAGATAAACCGCAATGTCGCAAATGTGCCAAAGCTCTGCAAGAATTGGAAAATATCGATGATGAAGCGGATCAGTTGGGCATCGGTTTTGTTAAGATACACGATGAAGCATTGGCTGAGGAATACAATTTGGGCAATCTTCCAGTATTGGTCTACTATCGTCATCAAACGCCGATCATATATGAAGGTAAAGAAGAAGAAACAGATTGAAGGGAAACGAAATTACACCGGAAACTCATTCTCTCTCTATCTCGCACTGTCACAGGTGAATTGTCACGCGAAGAGGATGTCTTGGAATGGTTGGTGCAAAATAAATCGACGGGTGATGAGGATGACGTCATCGAAGATGTGACAGCTAAGACACTCTCCACATTGATCAGCAATATCGATAATTTGGTTGTATTATTCTGTATGAAAAATGACATATACATATACTCGTACATACATATGTATGCACATACGTATAGGATGGTTAAATGACTCAATATTCTCTCATCTGTTTCGTGACTAGATGATCATGGTAATGATGATTCAATGACCGTATTGGAAGAGCTAGAACAAATTGACGACGACTGCGATAAACATGGTATTCAATTTGTTAAAATTGATGATACAAAAGCCGCAGCGGATTATGGAATCGATACGGTAATATACTATACACTAAGTGCGGTTGACCAAGATTTGATAACCTCAAAAAAAAAAAAAAAAAAAAATCCCGTACAGATTCCGGCAATAGTTTATTTCGAAAAACAAATTCCAAATATATACGATGGTGATCTCATGGCTGAGGAGCAAATATTGCATTGGCTGGTGGGACAATTAGAGCATGATGAAATTGAGGATGTTACCGATGAGATGCTCGACAAGATGGTGAAGGAGGGACGCGTTATGGCGGTGTTATTCTGTAAATATTTGGATGTTACGAGCACAGCTCTCTCTTATTAATCCCCCCTCCCCTTCAAAAACTTTTATACCACACATGTAGATGATAACAATGATAAGAAATCCCAAAGAGTACTCGAAGAATTGGAGAATATCGATGACGAATGCGATGCGTTGGGTATAACTTTTGTGAAAATCGACAATCCTGAAGAGGCCATCGAATACGGCATAAATAAAGTTCCTAAATTAATTTACTTTGAAAAAGGCATTCCAACCATTTACGAAGGCAATCTTGAGGATGAAGAAAAATTGCTAAAATGGCTCGAAGAGCAAACGACATCCGATCAAATTGAGGATATAACCGATGAGATGTTGGATTTGATAATTGAGAAAATGCCATATGTCGCTGTACTCTACTGTAAGTTGTTGTATGAAGAATTCTTAGGAAAAAATTAAGAATCAAAAAAAAAAATTTGCAAAAGATTTGCATATGCAAATATTTTTTTTTTTTTTCATTTTTTTCATCAAACTAAAAAATGAAAAATTATACGCATTTACGAATAGATGTATATTTTAAATATAAGATGGGCTTAGATGTATGTGTGTTTACGTAATTTAGATGTTGTCAAAGTTTCTGTTTTTTTTTTATAAATTTTGATGTAGTAATTCGTAAATATGTATTTTATAACGGTTTTTAATTAGTGTTGTAGTTGTTATTTTTAGTAAAAACAACTTGTGCTTTGCCGCTAGATACTTTTTTTATTTACCGCTACAAATTTTTATTTACTTTTTTCCATAATTTCTTAACACAAACTCACATAAATTGGAAAACGCGCCTAAAATTATAGCACAAGAAGGTAAAAGAAAATCCTAAGAAAAGCTCAAAAAAGCTCCTAAAACTATAAAGTATTAAATGGAGAAGAATTTAAAAAAAAATATAAGCATAGTTTCGACCTCAATATCGATAACAATGGTGATAGTTATAAAATATCAAGAGCTTGTCTACCGTACAGTGTTTAAAAAAATTAAAAGCTCTGCTACGCTCAGCTTACTTTGGTTGAAAATTTATTGATTTTTATTGAGTAAGATTTATTATGTTTTATTATGATACGGTCACATGGACTCCCCAAATTGTTAATTTAAAAGATAGAACTTTCATTTAAACTCAATTAGTAATTTTGGTGTTCACACACATACAATTAAGAAAGCACAAAAGGTTTTTATTTTACTCAGGAAACAAAATTTTAAACTCAATACAACAAATTAAAAAATTAGATTTTGACAGCTGCAGTTAAATATTTTTTTGACTTAATTTACGAAATTGAATTTTAAAATTAGTTAATGCATTTGTTGGTCAGACACATTCAATTAAGCTAGCAAAAATAATCTTTAAAAGCTAAAATTAAAGATTTTAGCTTTATTTACGAAATTAAATTTCAAACTCATTTAATGAAATTAAATTTGAAACTCAAAAATTAGCCTTTGACAGCTTCATTTAAATACTTTTTCCTTATTTCCGAAATTAAACTTCAAACTCAATTAACGAACTTGTTGTTCACACACATTCAAAATTAATCCTTGACAGCTGCATTTAAAACTTTCTCCTTATTTCCGAAATTAAATTTCTGACTCAATTAATGAATTTGATGTTCAAACACATTCATTAAAGTTTACTTAATTAGCCTTCAACAGCTGTAACGAAAAAGTTTTACTTTATTTTGGGAATCAAATTTCAAACTTAATTAACGCGCTTAGTGTTTATACACACTCAATAATTAAAGTTTGACAGCTTACACGAAAGCTTGCGATTTAATTTCGAACTCAATTAATAAATTTGATGTTCATATACACTCAATTTAGCTTATACAATTAATATTTGAAACTTGGAAAAAAGTTTTGATTTTATTTAACTTTCAAATTCAGTTATCATGTGTTTGTTGAATTTTATTTACTCAATTTATTTTATCCAAATAATATTTGGCAGTTTGAAAAATAATTTTTTCATAATTAAATCTAGTTGTAATTTAGTTTGAAAATTAAAAAAAAAGAAAAAAAAAGTCATGAACTACTCAATTTTAATTAAATTTAATTTTAAATTTGATTAAGTATTTAGTTCTTTAATTTAACTATAATTAATTCATTGAATAAGTTTGCAATCTAACGAATTGCAAATAACGAAGGAATTCAATTGCTTATTGAAGGGTTAATTGCGATACAATAAGGGCTTACTGACGCCTGAAGCAGCTCTTTAATGTGGTCAATTAGTAAATTGTCTGCACAAACATGATTGCAGGAAAAATTATTTACTAAAAGGCCTTTTAAAATGTATAATGAACTTTCGTCAGAATCCTAATTAGCAATTAGGTGCCTATGTGAACATATAATTACCCATTAAAATTAAGGATACCTTTGGAAGGGAAAATACTTTCAACCTTTAGCGCCTTCTTATCTTACTAGGATAAACAAAAAAAAATATACTTAAATTAGAATGACAGCAGTAAAAAGTAATGTTTTCGAAAAGCAGCTTGAATAAAAATATTTCCATAAAAAATATATAAAAATATTAACAATGCGAGTCTTCTAAATGAATGTTAAATCGAGCGTTTAATATTGGCGATTTGCTGAATTCACAAGTAAAATCTAACCACTAAACCACAACTGAGGATTTTTTTCGGTAGTCTAGGGTTTTCAAAATGGTTCCTTGGATTTTTAACATTTACCAAATCCAAAATAGGACCTTTAGGTTAGAAAAGATGTTGATACAAACCCGATTTCAAAATACAATAGATAGAAATCACAAAGGGTTCACCTAAATAGATTTTTAGAGAATTAACTTAGCTTATTTTTAAGATAAGCTCAGGTCAAATACTTGTTATAGATAAAAAAAAATCTATTTAAATACCGGAAACTAATTATTCTCCTCAAATATTTGTATTTCCCACGTAGACGACAAAGATCAGAAGAAATCACAAAAAGTACTCGCCGAACTAGAGAATATCGATGATGAGTGCGATCAAAATGATATCGCTTTCGTGAAAATCGACGATGATAGCGAAGCTAAGGAATGGGGTATCGATGATATACCATCGATTGTTTTCTTCGAGCGTGGCATACCGCACATTTACGAAGGCGATCTAATGAAGGAGGACGAACTATTGGGTTGGTTGGTACATCAGAAAAGACATTCGGAAATTCCCGAAGTCACCGATGAGATGAAGGACAAATTAATTGAGAATACTGAACATTTGGCGGTGATTTTCTGTAAGTTTTTTTTTTCTCTTCTTTTAATTTGTAAGTAATGAAATTTATAGTGATTTTCTTAAAAATAACCTAAAATCCTAAGGTAAAGTAAATGTCTTAAAGTCTTAAATTTTATAAGTCCGACTTTTTTACTCGTTCGCTCAGTTGGTTTTTGAAAACCGGACTTTTAAATGTTATCTGTTAGGCCCGAAACATTTCTGCTCATGACTTACGATTTTTTGTAGAGAGAGCAGAGCTGATATATATAAAAATCTGAGTTACTGCTCGATCTATAAGTCCCTTCTAGCTACTGAGATATCTAGCGGGTTAAATGTTATTACCGAACTCAAGGGTGGCAAGTGCATGGCTCTAAAATGATCATGCTGAAACCCAGTGGAGCAGATACTTGGCTGCGGACAAAAAGTCAATTAAACGTTTTTTAAAAGCGAATTGTTGGAGCCTCAATTGTTTTGTTTTGAGGTACGATTGGCTTAAATGAGATCGATATTAGTTGAAGAGTCTTCTAAGGATGATCCAAATTACTCTTTGGGTGATTTTCGATGTTCCTTCAATTGAAGTGTGAAAGGGATCTAGGAAATATATCAGAATAATAATAATTTTGCTAAATCTCATATAGTTATTTCTGACTGAGGGGGTGCACGGTTAGTACTGCCTACCACCAAGTAAGGGACCAAGGGCTCGTAATCTAACCTGATCAACAACGAACGGAAAACATGCGGTCGTGCTTCGACAGAGCATGTCAACTCAATCGTGTCTATTTCTGGAACGAAATAAAAACCTTTGCATAAAATCTTACCAAACCATTTTGAAGCGGCTTTTTATGCAGCTCCATTTGTGGAAAAGACATCCAGATGCAACAAATCATTAGATCTTAGCTCACTCCAAAGGCTATTTTAGTCTCCTGAGGATCTACAGCAGCAGAACTTCACTTTTGCTCTTTTACCAAGATTTACTCAACATTCTTTCAAATTAAATAAGAATAAGAATCAACAGCTCAGCTCATCTAACTCACTGCATATGCTTGTCTCTTTCTCAACAGACGACAAGGATGACAAACAAGATATACGCGTACTCAACGAACTCGAGAATATCGATGATGAACTCGAGAAGGAGGGTATCGTAATCGTACGCATCGATAATGCTGCCGAAGCTAAGGAATACGGTCTCGATCACTTACCGGCGCTCATTTATTTCGAAAATAAAATACCCGCACTCTATGAGGGTGATTTAATGAATGAAGACGAGGTCTTAGAATGGTTGATATTACAAAAACGTACAGCCACGATTGAAGAGGTCACCGATGAGATACTCATTGAATTGATCAATGATCATGAATATGTTGTAGTCTTCTTTACGGGTCCCTGCGAACCGGGTGAGAAATGTGATAAGACTTTGAGTGCGCTGGAATCGATCGATGATGAGCTAGATGAGGCGGGCATCATTTTTGTGACGACTGAAGATACAAATATTGCTAAGAAACATAATATCAAGAATTATCCACAATTGGTATTCTTCAGAAATCGTGATCCATTAGTCTTTACTGGCGATTTAGATGATGAAGATGAGGTATTGTCGTGGATAACTGATGAAGATACACTGGAGATACCCGGTAAAATTGAAGAAGTTAATACAAAGATGTTGGATAAGATATTGGCGGAGAATGATCATGTGGTTGTATTCTTCTGTGAGTAAAATTTGATGCGGATTTTTTTTAAATTTTGTTAATTTATTATATAAATTTTCCGTGTTTTTTTCAATGATTTGCGTTTCTCTTTCTGCTGCTCTTCTTTTTTCTTTTTCTTGTTCGCTCTCTCTCTCTCTCTCTCTCTCTCTCTCTCTGATTTTCTCTGTAGATCGCGAGGGCGATAAACGTGCCCAAAAGATTTTGAACGAGCTGGAGAATATCGATGATGAATGCGAGGAAAAAGACATTGATTTCGTGAAGACCTCAGATCCTGATGTCGACAAGGAATACGATTTGGCTAGCCTGCCAGCATTGGCATTCTACAGGCACAAGTTCAGAACCATTTATGATGGTAAGTGTTTGGCCAGTTGATTTTCATTTAATTTTTCTTTCATTAAGCGTAAATTTTCATTCAAAACTAGGCGATCTCATGAAGGAGGAGGAAATTCTTGACTGGGTCATTGATCTGCATGAGTCCACAGCTGATGTCATCGAATCGGTAGATCGCAAAACGTTGCAGGTTTTGATCAATGACGTCGAACATTTGGCTGTATTTTTCTGTAAGCGATCTTTTCCCCATCAAAAAATTTGTTTGTAATTTTAAAAATCTCATTTCCTTTTCAGATGACGACAAATGCGAATCGTGTCCACAAATCTTAGAGGAATTGGAAACTATCGATGATGATACCGATAAGCAAGGCATACAATTTGTCAAATCGAATGATGTCAAGTTGGCGCATGAAATTGGCATTTTCGCATTCCCCGCTTTGGTTTACTACGAGACGGGCGTACCAATTATGTATGATGGTGAGTCATTTTTGGTTGGGTGAAGGAAGCAATTAATGCAAGAAAATAAAATTAATTTTTCTCTATTTCTCTTTTAGGTAATCTCAAAAATGAAAATCGTGTGCTGCAGTGGTTGATCAATCAAAAGAGTAAGTGTTCTTTGTTCGATTTCAAATTTTTTTCTCTCAAAATTTGAGCACACTTACACAATTCTCTTCCCACTCCTTTAAACATGCGGAAAACAAACATGAAGCCACAAAGCATTTATTACATACAAAGAATCTAAAAAGAAAAAAAAAACTTTTTCAGCTCATAAGCAACCGTGTAACCTTTAGAAAACTCCACACAGCTCACACACAGTCTATTCATACTTATCATATAGTGAATACACCTATTGAGCATTGATAAATATCAAATATACTTTGTTAACTTTGTTAGCGCCATACATTGAGCATATGGCTAAGCGAATTATCAAAGCAATTATGCCAATCTAGGCCACGTACACGTATAGCCATGATCAAGAGGTGCGTATAGTGTTTATTTGAAAACCACAAAAAATTCTAAGCCATTCACAAAAAACATCCACCATATACTCTTACTATATGTGTGAAACCCCCTAATAGTTATGAACAATTTTGAAACTCATTTTCTCAAACAACAGACCTTTTTGACTAAATTCCTCTACAGTTAAAAAATAAAAAAAACAATTTTCTTAACTGAAAATCCCCTTAAATTGGTTAATTGTATTAAATAAATTGTTGATCTGTTGTCGAAACTCAACTGTTGTCAATACAGGCGAGGAAGAGGAAGATGAAGAAGATGAGGATGAGGATGATGAGGATGAGGACGAAAATAATGAGGATGACGAGGATGAGGATGAGGATGACGAAGAAGATGACGACGAAGAAGATGATGATGATGAAGACGACGAAAACGACCGAAAATTAAAACGAAAAGCCAAAAAGGCACAACGAAATAGAAGAAACAACGATAAAAACGACGACGATGACGATGATGAAGACGATGACGATGATGAAGACGATGACGATGATGAAGACGATGACGATGATGAAGACGATGACGAAGATGAAGACAATGAGGACGATAATAACAATGACGACGTTGACGAGGACGAAGACGACGACGATGACGAGGACGATGATGAAGACGAAGATGAAGATGAAGATGACGAAAATGGAATGTCCAAGCTAACTTATCCCAAAACTGATAAAAGCAAAGAAGAACGACTTAAACGTTTAAAGAAAAATTTGAGGAAGAAAAGTCAAAATGATGACGATGATGACGAAGATGATGATGATGATGATGATGATGGCAAAACGAAAAAGAAATACAAATTAATTAGACGTAGAATATCATATGATGATGATGATGATGATAACACCGATGCCGATGGCGATGATGATGATGCTGATGATGATGCAGATGGTGCTGAGGATGACGATGATGAAGATGAAGATGAGCCATTTATGCGTGTGCGTTATCGAAAACCGGGTTCGAGAAGATTGAGATTTAAGAAAATTGTTTTTAAAAGTCGTTTAATTGAGAAAGATGATAATGATGATGAAGATGATGACATTGACGACGAGGATAACGATGACAACGGCGATGATGAGGAGGATGATGATGAAGATGAAGATGAAAATGAAAATGAAGATGGAGATGATGAAAATGGAGATGATGACGATGAAGATGATGAGGATGATGAAGATGATGAGAATGATGAGGAAAATACTAAACATAAGAAAAGGCATAAAGTGCAGAAGAAGAAAAGTAAAAACTTAAGAAAAAGGTCAGATTATGATGAAGATGATGAGGATGAAGATAATGATGACGAAGATGATGATGATGAAGATAATGATGATGAGGATAATGATGATGGGGATGATAAAGAAGATGAAGACGATGATGAAGATAATGAGGATGAAGATGATGAAAATGAAGACGATGACGATGAAAATGAGCAAGATACTAAACATAAGAAAAGACATAAAGCGCAGAAAAAGAGAACTAAAAACTTGAGAAGAAAGTCAGGAAAAGAAGATGATGGAGATAATGATGATGAAGACGATGAGGATGAAGATAATGACAATGAAGATGATGAGGATGAAGATAATGATGATGAAGATGACGAGGATGATGATGAAGACAATGGTGACGATGATGAAAATAACGAGGAAGATGACGATGATGAGGATAACGATGAAGATGACGATGACGATGAAGATGAAGATGAGGATGAGGATGAGGATGAGGATGAGGATGATGTAAAATATAAAAAACGATATCGAAGTAAATCAAAGAGTAAACGCCAAGATAACAAAAAGAAAGTAGATAAAGATGATGACGATGATGAAGAGGATGAGGAGGATGAAGATGATGACGAAAATGACAATGATGAAGACAATGAGGAAGAAGAAGAAAATGACGAGGAAGATGATGAGAACGACGAAGATGATGAAAATAATGATGATGATGAAGATAATGAGGATGATGATGAAGACGATGAAGATGAGGCTGAAGACGATGATGATGAGGATGAAGACGAAGAAAATGAAAAAGTTGGTAAAAAGAGAAAATCAAGCTCAAAATCACATCGAAAATCACCACAAAGTAAGCGAAAACGCAGTAATAAGGATGATGAGGATGACGATAAAGAAGATGAAAATGATGATGAAGACGACGATGACGAAGATGATGATGACAAAAAAGTAAAAGCACGTAGTAAAACGAATGATAAGCGCCGAAAATCAAAAACAAGCAGAAAGGGCAAGGACGATGAAAACGATGACAATGACAATGACAATGACAACGACGACGACGACGATGACGATGACGACGATAACGACAATGACGATGATGATGACAACGATGAGGATGACGACAACGATGATGAGAAATCGACAAAAAGATCTCGTAAAACGCAAAACAAAATAAAACCACAAAAAATCCATCAAGCTAATGAACTGTGCAGTAAACGTTTCATAGATAAGTTAGGTAATTCTTTAAAAGTATTATTGGCAAGCGAAGATTTAGTATTGTGGCCTTCCCCACCCCTTCCTCTACTGATGTAATCTACTATACCACACGTGTGTACTCTTGAATATATGTATATAAATTTACAATTTTTTTACCTCAAAAATATTAATAAAAAATGAATTTAATAAATAAAATTAAATAATAAATAATAATAATGTTAACATTTCATCATTTGTATATGTATGTTTGTCTTAACCTCAAAACAGGAGATATACCCATAGTATCAAAGCATAATCGGGCAATGCCGAAAAGTACAATACACAATCGTTTTTTACCACAACCCGAAGGTAAAACAAACGACTTACACAACAACATGTACATTTTTTGTGGCAACAAACAGCAAGCGTAACAGTGCTTTTCGTGTGCGAGAGTAAATATTTTTTAATTGTTTTGTACATTGTTACTGACCAAAATTTATCCAGCTGAAAGAATTTCGTGTGTTCAAATAAAAAATAAATAAAAAAAAAAAATCACGCAAAACCTAGTAAAAATGCTTTGCACGATTTCGCACAAATTCCACCCACCCGAAAGCGTTTGATTTTGTTTTGTTGGAAATGCACCGAAATTAAAAAATTTCCAAAGGAACTCGCTGACCCTAATGACCCGGTTTTATAATCATTTTGAATATTTTAACGAAGATTCTGGTAAATATTTCGAGCGAAACGGTGAGCTAGACGGAAAATATTTAAAGAACTCAAGATTAAGTAGATCAAATCAATTCGGAATGTTGAAAATTTGACTCTGCGACCTTATAAATTGTGTTCAGAATTTTTCAGAAAATTTCTTCAAATCACAATTTTTTTTTAATTCTTTTTCAACTCATAAAAATTCTCCAGACACTATATTTTGTCCTTCATCTGAGTCACAATACCAGTAGCTTCTTATAGTACTGATTTAAGGGACACACCAGTGTAATGGCCTGAAAAAAGGATGATTTTTGGGAAATTTTATTAAAAAAAATACTTTATCTATTATTTCAAAATTTTAAGAATATATTTCTACATGTTTCAAGAATATACTGTGAAATTTTTGAAGAAAAAAAACTAAATATTTTTTAAGTTATAGTCCACATCCAACGGCGCGAAAAAAAGGTCCTTTACTGCGGCAGTGATTCCGGCCTTCTCCGTGGATGAAATCAAAACAAAAAATTTTTCTGTATGTATGTATTGTCTGTACAATAAACTACGATAAACAAAAAATCAAAAATTGACAATATGGCGGCATTTAAAAAAAATAGTCGAATTTTACCCAAAATTTTGGTCGTTTTTTGATCAGATCAAAAATCGATAGGTCATTGTACGGAGAACTATATATAGAACATGTAAAAAAAAAATCGATAGTTATCGGATCATTTGTTTTTGAGTAATCACTGCAGCAAATTCGGAAAATGCTGCTTCGAAAAAACCGCCTTTAAAGATAAAATGACCGTTTTCACTCGTAGCTAATGAGACTCTCTAGCTGCCGAGCGGCTGCTCTTTAAATTGCTATAACTCAAAAACTGAAATTTTAATATGTTATTTTCAAAGGTGTAATCTACCGAAATATGAAAATATCGATTTTTTTGAAATTCCACACTAGGTGTGCCCCTTAAATACTTAGTTGTATGTGTGGCTCATTTCTTCCTTGCTCAAAGTCTTCCATGAAAATGTCCATATGAATGCCTGGAAATAATCCAAGCGCAAAAATCTGATCTATAAATCATAGATCACACTCATGTTGAAGGTAGGACGAATGGCTTGTGATCCGCAGCAGCAGAATAAGGACATTGCAAAGCTTATATCCAAATCATACAAATACCACATTCTGATTAGAAGAATAGAATTTCAAGTAGAATTCCCCAAAAATTGTTTTCGTATATACCTTTGCAGGAACCATAAAAACAGTCTTAAAAATTTTTAAGTCCAATGGCTTTCGAGAGTTCTACTGCTGTTAGAATACCAACTCAGAGTCAAAATTATAGAAAT